ATTTCAATTAATACCAAAAGAATATGTTTTATCCCTAAATCGGATTTCCAATCCTTTTTCAGTGTATTGACACAAATTTCGCCATTTCTCGAGACGTTTGGGTGAAATATTTTGGTCACAAAGTATCCCTTTGGAGGCGAGAGTGGGAAGTCTTTGGACAGAACCAGTTTCACCCGAAAGGATCCCCCGAAGTATGGCGTACACGCTGTGGACAACACATACACCCATTATAGCTCACAATCACACCATTCATCAATGAGTATCAATACCGGGGCCGTCGATGACCGCCTGAATGTCGGACACGTCCTCCTCATTAAGACAAACGCGAATGCCTTCTAAGGGATTGGACACCAGTTGTGATAACTCTTTGGACACCTGACGGATCACTTGCGGCGACAAGTTCTCGACATTAGATGAGGTTTGCTATCATTTGATTGGACACAAGCACTCAATGAATCAAATCATCATTAGTTAGCATTAAGTGATACTTACAGATGACATGTCTTAACACAAATCACTAAAAGTAAGGATCAAATAAATAGCACTCAAAGAGTTTTGTGTTAGAAGTGGTGGTTAAGTATGAGTCGTGACATGAAATGAGGCATAAAGTGGTGAATGAATGAACGGTTTGTCGTATTGTTTGTATTGCGAGACAAATGAGTGACTAATTGTCGATATATTGGACATAAGATGAGTGTAAATGGCATTAATTGAACCCAAATGGCGATAACGACTGCATGTATGGGTGGTTCACATGATAGGCGACCACTGGTTTGACACGAATTTAAATATTTTTAACGAATTTCTGCCCAAATATTCATCTCATCTATTGTTGCAAATAATGGCATCAACGCTATCATTGGCTAAACATATCATGGCTTTCACTCCGCTCTCCACTACAGCCAACACACTGTGAACACTGAACACACACTCAACACTATCACATCAATTACAACACATTATCGCACATACACTTACACTCACTTACACTGCATGAATTGCACACATTCATCAAACTCATCGCATATACTAATCATATATTTGATGACAATTTAGCATCAATTGTGTTCATTAACTATTTGTTTCATTAGTTTAATTAGACTCACCATTGAATACAACGTCAAGTTTGTGACACAGAGTATGAGTGGTGTGTAAACGGTGTTTATGTATGAGATGTAGACGTAAACAGAGTCTCAAAAAAGTAAATAACTATTTGATTGACATTTGGATTGAATTTGATTTTCACACAAATTAGTGAAAATCACACACTTTTAGCACATTATTAGACATCGATTTAATGATAATATCTGTTGAATGGATGCCATGTCTGCGGAGGAGAGTCGTCTTGACGTGTGCTTAGGTTTGCATTCAATTGATGTCTTGTATTGATCTGTGAATTCATTGAACCGATTGTATCGTACGGACAGCGAAGACAACGAATCCACTGAACGAAGACATCGATTGCGATGACTTGAAGGCGTTGTCTGAAGCGATCAACGAGAAGAGCGATGGCCCGCAGATTGCCCTCAGATTTATTGCACACAAAATCCAATCGCCGCAAGAGATTGAAGCCTTGCATGCATTGAATGTATGCTTTTATTTGCAGACAATTGTCTGTATTTCATGTGACATTCATTGTGTTGACCACAGGTTCTGTCGAAACTGATCCCAATCTGTGGCCACCGACTGGTGGATGAAATCGGAAAGTTTCGCTTTCTCAATGAAGTCATCAAAGTGGTTTCGCCCAAGGTATGCAACCATTGGATCAAATGGGTGACAATTACTATATGTTGCCGTTTGTGTCCAGTACTTAGCGCACAGATCTTCGCCTAAAGTAAAGCAACGGATCATTGAATTAATGTTTGTGTGGAGTCTTGAGTTGAAAGAAATGCCCAAAATCTTTGAGGCGTATCAGATGCTTAAGAAGCAGGCCATCATCACCGAAGACCCCACTCACGTGTTGCCCAACTATAAGCCTCCGACACCACCCCTCCCGCGACCCAAGGATGAGATATTCGATGACGAAAAGAACGCTCAGTTACTGCAGAAACTGCTCAAAAGTGGCCGACAGGAGGATCTCGACGCAGCCAATCGTCTCATCAAATCGATGGCCAAAGAGGCGGACAAACGAATGGATCTGAAGACGAGATTTGAGTCGGAGATCGAGACGGTGTACAACAACGCCAATGTCTTGTCTGAGATGTTATCGTTTTATTCATCAAATGATAGCTCGTATGAAGAGAAGGATCTGATGCGAGAACTGTTTGAAAGCTGCGAAAGACTGAGAATACGTTTATTTAAATTAGCGAATGATTTCAGTGAAGACGACCCCAATCTGACCACTCTTTTCAATGCGAACGACGAGTTGACTAAAGTGATCAATAGTTATAAACACAGGTTTGGTGTTGTCTCCAAAGATACTTCCAATCACTCGGGCGTCACTCAAACCAATCAAATAAGTCTTTTAGACGTTACGTCTCCAGTACTTGAATCCGAGAGCATAGCCAATGACGTGGAACTACTCGACGATCACTTTTTTACATCCGGTCTTTCAAATACAAACGGCGCTAAAAATAATACTTTACATGATTTACAAGAATTAGGGGAAATATTTTCACAAAATAAGGTAGAATTATCACCGCTTAAGAACTCTTTAGTCAATGATATTTTACTCCCGGAACCGATAAGACCATCGAATTCTAGTACATTAGTGAATGAAAGTGAGAAAATGTCCAAATCTGGTCCAATGTCTGCGTTGGCAGAACTCGAGGCTCTGAGTCAGTCTCTCATCAAAAGCAATCTCTCGAGCGATGAATTTGCACACAAATACAATCTCTCGAACAGCGATCAGCCAAAGACCTCTTTGAATGAATTACAAAGACTTCAGTCAAACGCTAAGATAATGAGTCAAAAGGAGAAGAATGAAACCAATGATTCTGTGCTACCG